TAAATTTAAACACCTTGTATCTTAAAGTTATGCAACAATAAACTGAAACAGCCTGTATAAACTGCTCATCAACATCATATTCCTATTTTCTTTATCCCAATATTTTGATCTGTGTTCCAGCATGATAACGCTGAGCTTCTACCACAAAGCCGACCTTGAGCAATGGATATTATCAGAACTCTCAGAGGCGGATTACAGAGAGCTGATAGATGCTATATGGGAACCTCTTCTTGAAAAGAACCTAAGCTTCGTGGTAAAGTCAGAAACGGGCAAGATAGTAGGAGTTGCATTGAACTTTGACGCGAGGGATGAACCGGAAGTTGAGATCAAATCAAAACTTACAGTGATTTTCGAATTTTTGGAGGCTATCGAAGGACCCATCAGGTAGGTTATTTACTAGAGTATCGTGAATTTGAGTCAATTTACTACATCCTAGTGAGACACGATCAAGATGCAGAGAGCACATTTCAAGGTACAATGCAATGCTTCCATTGTCGTCTCTCATTTCTCCCATTTCTAAGTGAAGTTTTTGTGATACAAAAGAGAACCATGTATTTTAAGAATAGACTTTTCTCTTGCCGATTGCTATTCAAATAAGCAGGCATTATGTCATTATTTTTTATACATTTTCCGATCCATAATGCATATCAAGTCGCCGTGTGCTGTGCGGGGTCGAGTCCCGTCCCAGGAGAAATTTTTCTCTTGGCTATGGATGTTGTGATTGTCCGTAGGTGGTAGATGGTCTCTGACTGTCGAACGCGGAGGTACCACCCGGCGGTTCTCGTAGGCGGAGCCAGAATGTGTGCATGTTGCATGCACACGTGTTCCCTCGCCAGAGTCCGTGTGGCGTCCCCCCTTTCCCATGTATCCCCCATAACCCCACGGTACCCAATGGGTGCTTAGGCCTTAGGCCTTCGTGGTAGTTGGAATATAAAAAAAAAAAAACGTATCTTCAATTTAGCTATGCCTCACCACAGGTAATCTCTTGTATCAAAAGGTCCAAGCATAATAATGATTACGTTATATAAAAAACTTCCAACAGATATCAATCCTATATCATCAGTCAGCGTTTTTAGAAATAAAGTAAAAAAAATCTTTTGACCACCCTTTCTACTCTGTATCAGAGTATATCGATTCCAGTTTTTAATTTGTTGATTGTGTTACCTAGGTCTCTTTTATACGTATTTGACTATATTCCAACACTACTATATTGAGCCTCATGGAAATAAACCATCTATCTATCTATACATGAACAAGGCTCGAACCACCGAAGTAATTTAGGGTACTGATTCCAAATATAACTATCAAATCCTACCAACGAAGTTAATGGTAGCAGTAAGTCTTTTGAAATTTCCTGTCAATCTAAGCGAAAAACCGATATCGGATTCGTGATCTACGCAGCCGATTTACAAAGTAGAACCAGATTTTGGTCGTCATAGCAGATACGCAAGAATTTTTTGATGTACTCCTCAATCCAAAATGTCTGCTCCCTCCCTTTTTTACAAACGGACAAAGGCTGCTGCTCTGCGCCTCTGCGGTCTCAATCTTTTCATATCTGTTTTGTTAATCCTCAAATAAATATCTGATCGAAATAAGACAGCGCTAAGCGCCATCTACCACTAGAATCGCTCACAGCCTACCATTTAAAGCTGTTTCGTGCTTTTTGGCAACTACTCAATATGATCTATGCTTGGCTCTCTCGGACAACGAACGAAAAAATGATGGTAACTATACTGCATACTCGATTAAATGTATGAGATCTATCGAAATAAGACAGCACGAAGCGCCATCTAGCATTAGACCCGGACACGCTTTGATTGATATGATCCATTCAATTTTTATTCTAGAGATAACCAGTTGCCGCCTGGAAAAGGCGTAGTGCTGCATGCTTTCATGATGGCAACACATTCTTCCCTATCGCCTAAAGAAAACGTAGCAGTAATGCAGTTTATGGAGGACGAAGTATTGAAGCTTGCCCGAGAAAGAAATTTCACTGGAATACTAACTACGAACACAAGTCCTTTGACACAGGTATAGATACCTAGATTTTAGACTATAAAGTGATGGAGAGTATGTACGTACTTCACTATAAACACCACCTGAGTTGTTCGAATGTAAAGGAATATCTACATGAGAAATATTTTTGTAGCAGCATTTGGCCATCACTATGGCAAATATAGCCCAGTCATCGTAGCCCCACTGCTCGGCTGTATATCTTGGCTATCTCAAAGATATGTGGAGTATATATTTAATGTATAAACACATACACTTGTCCGAATTTCTCATCGAAAAGGGTACAAAATGAACAAGAATGACTGAAGCAATTGTATGGGTCTGCAGCTCACATTACGAGCCCCTTCCCACTTCAGTTGGCCCACTTCAAGATTTGTACCAAAATATGCCTTTATAAACTAAACATGACAAAACTATTTGTTTCTAAAACAATTTATTTTCTCAAAAACATTTTAGATACACTCTAGTCGTAAAAAATGCATATTTGAAATCACTTAGACCTATAACTAATAGAACATCTGAACAAATAAACAATGTGCGAATAAATGCGCGAAGTTAACAAAGCAACAATTGAAACATTACCATTGGGCAACATCACCTTTATTAATTATTACGGCTGAAATTCTTTGTGGCATAGCGTTAACCAAGTTTTGGCAAAAATTTGGTGTAAAACAATGACATATTTCTTAAAGCTTTTGTCTCAGTTCGGTGCTTGTACGAGCAGGATATTGCCGTAGAACCTTTTTCATCTCGTGCCACAAAGTTTCAATAGGTGACAGATCTGGACTGCTAGAAACCCATTTCAAAAGTGGTACATTATTTTCTTCCATCCATTTTCTAGCCTTTTTTGAGGTATGGCACGCTGCACCATCTTGCTGAAACACAAAATCTTGGCCGGCTGTCAAACATTCTTCCATCACTGGTAAAAGCGAATGAAAATTTCCTACTCCTTTTGATGACATACTGCTCCAGACCATAATGGATGCTGGAAATTTCACTTTTCTCTTCAGACAGTCAACATGGAATGCTTCATTTTTTTGCGAATAACTCTACTGCGACTGTCACCAACACAAACTTCGAATCGGGCCTCATCACTCCATTGTATTGCACACCATTGTTGAGGTGCCCATTGTCTATGTTATTTAGCCCATCTAAGCCAATTTTTCTTTTGAAGTGGAGTTAGCAGTGGCTTTTCTTTGGCCTATAAACAAGTTGTGCAACAGGTTTTTACTTCACTTTTTTTATAAGAAAACTTACCTTGCAAGTGCTAAATCCCAGTTTGTGGGCCTTTCTATGAGTTGTGGACCTCGAGATTCTCCTTCCAACAGCGTCACTCCACAGAGCACTTAATTGTAAATAATTGGCACGCCTGTTTTTCACGATTATTCTTCTTAATGCTCTTCGGTCGGCATTTGTGATATTACTTTTTTCACATATCGAGGCTTAATATTAACTGAACCAGTTACGTTATATCTTCTAACAATATTTCTCACACTGTACCCCGATAAGTATAACAAAGCTGCAATTTCTGAGTGTGATTTCCCAGAATTTAATCATCAGTAACCGAATTTTCTCACCAATAACCTTTGCTCTACCCATTTTGAAAACCTTAACTACCCAAAACTATTATAGACGTATTCTGACAGCTGTGATTAATAAAAACAATTGTCATGACTTTCATTTTTCACAGCCACCTATGCGTTATAGACTTATTTTGCGTTGAAATGAAAATAGGTTGATATTCTGTACCTAATTGCAACCTGTGTTATTTTTATACTGCAAATTTGATTTGGGAGTGATAAAGTTGATGTTTTCTACTATATATTATCAAAATATTCATTGTTAATATTTTAAACCTATAACACCCTGCTGCATTTTTATTATTTGTGTTTGATAAGAACAAAAATAAGATTTCAATAGTTGGGCCAACTGAAGTGGGAAGGGGCTCGTACATTAGCAATATACAAACATGTGTAACAATATACCTGGCCCATGCCAAGAATGTTGCGCTTTTAGAAGCGCCAAATGTATCCTGTCAATACCCATATTTTGCACACCGTCAAAAAAATTAATCATCGTTGGTATTTTGAATTGTACCGTAAAAAAGCCCACCAAGATGGTAATATGTATTACCACTTCAAAATAAGTTTGTTTTATTTTATGACCAGCAAAACATGGAGATTGGTACGCGAGATGAGAGAATATTTCTGAAGTAGGTGAAGCTTATATTGGAGGTCTCTCAGATCACACACACAGATATTGGATAAAGAAAGATTGATATTTTTTTCTAACATTAAATCGTTGTGGTTGATTGCAATTCCATTTTTAACTATCTTATTGTATACTTGAAAATATAAATACGATCCGACGGATTTTAAGGTAAATACTTTTTAACGGCTTTTTGATACCAGCCACACTTCAAACACATTTTTTAAATTGTTTTGTTCTTTTTTCCCTTCATATTTGCTTTAGTGTTTTTGAAAGAAGGACATTGATAGAATATACAAAACAGCTACTGTGCTATTGACCAGTTTGTCTCAACTGCCCGGCATATTTTATAGAATTTTGCGTAAGACCTTACTACTGTTCTTAGTTTCAACATAATTTATCCATTTCCTAAATATTTTGCTAAATTAACACAGAGAGTAATTACTGTAATATCCCATAGATTATCTGAAATACTTATTTTGTTTCAGCAACTGGGTACAAATGTATACCAATATCAAAACATGTGTGACTACCAAGTGAACCAATATGTCGCTAGTGACAATACGAAACCTTTTGGATTGGCACCTGATGATCAAAGAGCCATAGTACATTGGAAACCAGTGAAATAATAACATTTTGTGATTTATATGTATGTAATTTTTATTGTTAATATTTATCGTTACCGTATATTCTTCATTGTAGATATAAGACATAAGATTGTAAAATATTGTATTATTCATTATTAAGATATGTAGATTGAAACTAAGTGAACGAATAAAATGGATCAGCTTAGGTATAATGAAGAGTTTTGGCTCCCAATTCATACGCAGAACCCTTTCAAGCCTATATGCGTGCTAAGCCTCAAGACCCGCACTCTGATGTGATGAAAAATCTGCCTCAGAGATGGCATTACTGGAGGTAAGGGCAATGCTTAGGTCCAAAGTGAGGGTTTGTGTGCTAATAATATGTGTTAATGATAGTTCCATTGGATTATTGTCTTAAATACGAGGCTGTTCAAAGGTGGGGGGGGGGGGCTAGTTGAGAAGAGCTATTCTTGGGCTACAAAGTTTTGGTCCCAGAAGTACCCGCCTTACCTAGAGATGGCGATAGTTGTTTGAAAAATATCATTGTATTAGAAAGTATGCAACCTATAAAGCATATGTGTCAAGTTTGAAGACGCCACGTTGTTTACTATTTGTTTGGCAGCCAACAATACGTTTTCAGTGAATTTCTGAAAATGGAGAAAATTGGTCATCGTTATGTGGTACAATACTTTTATTTCAAAGGCCTCAGCCCAGCCAATATAAAAGCTGAACTGGATTCCACTCAGGGCGAGTCTGCTCCTTCGTTTACAACAGTAAAATATTGGGTAGCAGAGTTTAAACGAAGCCGTATGAGCTGCCAAGACGAGCATCGCAGTGGTCGACCAAATGAGGTGACGACTCCAGAAATGGTGAAGAAAATTCACAAAGCGGTACTGAATCATCGTCGACTGAAAGTGCCCGAGCTAGCAGACATAGTAGGCATTTCAAAAAGTGCAGTTCATCGCATATTATCTGAAAATTTGGACATCAGAAAGCTGTGTGCAAGATGGGTGCCGCGATTGCTCACAATCGAGCAAACACAGTGTCGTGAAGATGTTTCAATTGAGTGTTTAGCGAAGTTTCACAGCAACAAAGCAGCATTTTTGCATCGTTTCATAACCATGGATGGAACATGGGTCCATCACTTCACACCCAAGGCAAAAGAACAATCAAAACAATGGACTTAAAAGGGACAAGCGGCTCCAAAGAAGTCGAAGACCGATTCATCTGCAGGCAAGGTTATGGCGTCAGTTTTTTGGGATGCGCGTGGGATAAGTTTCATTGATTATCTTGAAAAAGGTGAAACTATCAACGGCGAGTATTATGCGAACTTATTGCAACATGTGAGCGATGAAATCAATCAAAAACGGCCGCATTTGGTTAAGAAGAAAGTGTTGTTTCATCAAGGCAATGCACCAGCTCACAAATCCGTTATTGCAATGGACAAAATTAACGAATTACAGTTTGAAATGCTACCTCATGCACCGTATTCACCAGATTTAGCCCCATCAGATTATTTTCTGTTTAGAAACTTGAAAAAATAGCTCAATGGTCAAAGATTTTCCAACGTTGAGGAAGTAATGTCGGCAGTTAATGGCTATTTTGAGGAGCAAGACAGTTCTTATTATAAAAAGGGTATCGAACTTATTGAACATCGCTGAGAAAAGTGTATAGAGCTCAAAGGAGATTATGTTGAAAAATAAATACATTTTACGTACACTTACTTGAGATTCAAAGCTAGAAATTAGTCGCGCCTCCAGTTTTTCTTACCCACTCTGAAAATTGCATATGCTTGCTAAATGGCGGCCGATGGGAGTCGAACTCTCTTGATGCGCCACGAACGCTCTCAATATTCTGGATACCTAGGCACCGATGTACGAGGGTTTCTCACAATGTTCCAGTTACAAGTGCGCTACAATGTCAATATACAGGGAATTGAAAATATCTACGCCACTGATGAGACTCATCAGAGACAAAATATTAATATTATTTAAATAACGCTATGGCCGGGTAAAAGTACTCCGCTTGTATCCTACGTACAATTAGTAAAGGTTAAACATCACTAATATCAGTATGTGTTCAAATCAGAACGGCTTTAAGACTTGTATACAGATAATATCTCAAATATTCAAACCAACTTTTCTCCAAATGAATGGTCCGACAAAAATGTCCGATGAACGAAAATTTATGTATAATATCTTATACAGGGTGTTACAGTAGTGTTCATGTCATAACACCGAACTTTGACCTGTTCAAAAATTTGGTAGGCAAGGCCATTTTGAAGAGCACCGTATGGAATTTCATCCTTTACTTTTGTTCTATTAGTACCTCTAAGATTTAGGTAAAACTTACCAATGTTTAAAAAGTTACTGCATGAAAGTGCTAAAAAATTCACTTAATAACTATCTCTGAGATTTAGCACTTTAAAGGTTGTTAGTGGATATCTCGAAGGCATTTGACAAGGTGTGGCACAAGGGCCTTCTCTATAAACTAATTCAAAAGGGCTTTCCATTTTGGCTCCTAAAACTTTTGAAATCCTTCCTTGAAGGTAGGAAATTTCGGATCAAAGTCAATAATTTCTTGTCGACAGTACGGCCCTTCAGAGCCGGCGTCCATCAGGGTTCGGTTCTAGGGCCAATCCTTTACTCAATTTTCACGCATGATGTCCTTTCCCTAGCGACTGTGAAGTCCGTCTATATTCTGATGACACTGCACTGGTGGCCCAGTCGCGTACCGGGAATCTGGTTCACGACAGGCTACAAAGTTCAGTGGATGAGATATTGGAATGGGCAGATCTGTGGCTCATCAAAATTAATTACTCGAAAGCGCAGGCTATCTATTGTACTAAAAAACGTAGCGGCGCCCCGCCTGAGGTTTCAGTGAATGGAGCTCGCATACCATGGGGAAATTCTGCTAAGTATCTCGGTGTCACTCTTGATAGGGGGATGACCTGACAGAATCACACTGAAGCGTTAAAAACTAAATTCCGAATCACGGTTCGGCAACTACTATGTAGAACCACAAAATTAAGTTTGGTTAACAAAGTTCGGCTATACAAGATGGTTATCAGACCAGCAATCACTTACGCATGTACATCATGGTGTTTTCTTGCCAAAACGTATATGCGTAATCTGCAGGTTTTGCAGAATAGAACCTTGCGTACCATCACTAACGCACCATGGTATGTCTCCAACGAGACCCTTCACAGAAACCTCGACATCCCTTACCTAAGGGACTACATCAATTATCAGGCGCAGTTAAGTTATAGTCAAGCGGAAGCGCACAGCAACCCTCTGTTGCGTGAGTCAGTAGACTACACAGTCGAGCCAGTTCGCAAGCACACAAAACCGCGGCTCGCACTGTGATCAAAATCAAATCGTGCAATTCTATATCCAACCAAAATTATGATTTTTGCCACACACAAATTCCTAAATTAATTTTTGGATTAATTTAAATTAACCAAATACCAGTTAACAATAGACATGCCAGACCTACTGACCTACGATACTTGACGAATGACAATGACGAAAAGGAATATGAGGTTGTCAGTTGTATATGACAGAATGATGCACCGGTTTAAAGTGAGCCGTAAGATTTTTTGTATGTATCGCTTACTCCATCAGTAGTATATGTACAAAATTTATACATTCCGGCCGAGTTATCTTCAAAAATATATGTAATGTCAAACAAACCAACCAAATGTCAACTTGCTGATTAGATAATAATAATAATAATAATAATAATAATAATAATAATAATATTTATTCACCCAATGTACAAAGATAACAAACAATATGAGTAAATAAATATAAAATCAAAACAGGCCCAATAGAAGGCATCGCCTGTACATGGACCAATAATTTAAGTTGAAACTGTAGAATGCAAATGACAAAAAAGGACAAAAATTAGCTACAGTAGATTATGTATTTAGTTGATGTTCGTATTGATGAGTTTATGAATTTCAGTCCTAGATATAGAATGTATCCACTTTTTTAAATTTCTTTTGAAACAATTTCCGAAACGTAAATATTTTAAGTCTTTAGGTATAATTTCATAAAATTTAGGTGCTAAATAGAGATATGATCGCTGCATTTTTATGCGGTTGAGGAACTACTGTGCCACGAATTTTGTACTTGGTATAATGATTATGTTTAATTTTTTGGTCGGTGTTTACAAATTTATGGTAGTGAGTGATACTGTGTAAGAAATAAAGCTGTCTTATATCATAAATTCGAACATATGCGTATAATTTTTCAGTGGGATAAAGTTTCGGTTTTTTAAATATCATTTTGAGAATACTTTTTTGAAAAACATCTAAATTATAGATATGTGAGGAACATGCAGCTCCCCATGCTAATATACCATATGTGAGATGAGGCTCAATCAGTGCATGGTATAATGTTCGAAGATATTTTTCTGTCAATATATTCCCAAGGTATTTAATTTTGTAGGATACAAATCTAACTTTCTTTAAAATATAATTGACATGGATGTCCCATCGTAAGTGAGGATCCAAGACCACTCCAAGGTATTTTATGTTGGGCACTCTATTAATTTGCATTTTTTGATCATTAATGTTGAAGGAGAAATTTGTGTAATTTGGCAGATGTCTAGCATAAGATCCAAATGGTAGAAAATGTGTTTTAGAGTAGTTAATGATTAATTTTTTACTGTTAAACCACCGAATAATTTTGATAAAACCATTTTCAATTACATTTTTCAGATCAGACCAGTCAGTGCCTTCATATAATATTGCAGTATCATCTGCAAAACTAGTTATTTTGCCAACACAATTAATTTGGAAAATATCATTTAAATATATATTGAATAACAGCGGACCTAAGACAGTTCCTTGTGGGAGACCACACTTAATATACATTTCTTTACTAAATGATCCTGATATCTGCACAGATTGTGGGCGATTTAACAAATAATTTTCGATCAGTGAGTACGCGTTTCCTATGAAACCAATTCTCTCGAATGCTTCTAATAATAATTTTTGATTAACTGTGTCGAAAGCTTTCTTTAAATCAACAAAAATGCAGATTGAAGGGATTCTGTTATCAATATTTTGATGTATTTGATTTACAATTTTAGTTATTGCGTCCGATGAAGCCTTCCCTTCTGTAAATCCATATTGATTTTCACTTAAAATTTTGAATTTTGTGAGGTATCGAATCATTCTAGTGGATAAAACTTTTTCAAAAACCTTTGCTATACTGGATATTATTGATATTGGTCTATAGTTGTTAACATCTGTTTTTGTTCCTGATTTATGTATCGGTATTATATTACCTTTTTTTAAAATTGAGGGATATATGCCAGATTTAAAGCATTTGTTGATTAGGTAAGTGTTCTGTTATGTCCTCGGCTATAATTTTCAAATGCTCGCTTTTTCCAATTTTTTAAGGCCATAACAGTGGTGTATACTTCACATTGCTCGACTTTATCCAAAATAAATGAGTTCAAAGTTCTTTTTGGAGGCTGAGTATTTTGTACGTTTGCTTGTATATTACTTGCTAAATTTTCGCCTATGTCAGTAAAGAATTGTACAAATTCATCGCATATCTGTTGAGTATTTTTTAATACTGTTCCCGATGTTGTATTTAAGTCAGTGACACACTCTTTAAATTTTGTTTTCCCAGTAATCTCATCAATAGTTGTCCAAAGCCGCTTAGGATCATTTAAGTTATTATTCAATTTATTTAGGTAATGTTTTCGTTTGGTTTGTCTTGCAAGTTCTATAAATTTATTTTTATATTGGTTGTAGCAGTCGGTATTCTCTGTAGTTGGCGTTAGTTTCATTACATTATATAGTCTTTCTTTTTCTGTTGCCGATGTTATTAATCCTTTGGTAATCCAGGCATTCCTGCTTTTACTCTTTGTGACTAATTTTTACTTTATTGGTACTAGATAGTTATTAGTATGCAAATAAAAAGAGAATAGTTCGTTCCGCTCTTGCTGGCTGTGAGCGCTGTGAGCGCCACCTATGGAGGAATGACTCAACGACATGCTCAACGACCATGGTGTAAGTCAGATCGCCAGCATGCCTTGTTGGTTGCAGGATGTTGAGATAGTCTGTATTAGAGTATATTTCTGAACAGATTTGACAGAAAAAAAGTTGGTTAAGTAGCAGAGTAGCAAGATCACGTCTGTATGATAGTGTGTATTGGTCTGCGTGTGAATGAAATCAGAGATATTTGCTAAAAAAAATTATCGCTGTGTTTGCTGCCCAGCGAATCAGCAAGTAAAAAAGTTGTGTATTTAATTTTTTTTTTCGTTTTCAATATTTTGAGAAGTACCTTTTTCACCATTTAATGTCGAGTGCCCTTGCCTTGATACCCGGTAGGCCTTTTGGTCTCCAGACCACGCCTAGCAATATTGCATACTTTCTATTGCGAGCTATCAAGTTAATTTTTTGTAGATATGATCCTCCAGGACCACCAGAATATCCTTGTTGCGGCCACCTTAACAAGTCCTTCAAGTGCAGAAAGTTAACAATGAGAGACATCAAAGAATTCCATGAGAATTTTTACTCTACGCGCGCAAAGAACTCCCAAGATGCGTTTATCATTAAACATGTGAAGGTAACAAGTGCAAAAAGACCACGTCCAAAAAAGAAACTTACCTCTACGAAGAAGGTTAGTACAAATTACTACATTAGAGTGTCCGGTACAGAAAAGTTTTGTATACGTGTTTGTCAACAAACCTTCGTCAACGTCCTTCAAGTATCACGTAAGAGAATTCAGAATTTAGCTAGGAAATTTCTGAACACGGGAAGAATGCCGGTTGACAAGAGAGGTGGGGCGAGGCCAAATCCTCTTTATGACAAGAAAAAGGCCGCTATTAAAAGAAAAAGGCCGCTATTAAAACATTCATAGAAAAATTAAAATGTTGTGAAAGCCACTATTCTCGAGGTAAGTCCGTGCATCGACGATACTTGCCAGGAAACTTAAGTATAAACAAATTATATCGCATGTACAACAATGAACAGAGTGATGAATCACTGAAATCGAAGAAAACGTTTTTCCAAAAAATTTTTACCACGCAGTACAACATTGGGTTTGGCACGCCTATCACCGATGCCTGCTCTCTGTGTATCGAACTAAAATCTAAAATAAAAAATGAGGCCAGTCCGCAGAATAAAAGTAAAATAATGAGTGAACTTACATTTCACAGAATGCGATACAAAGTGTTTTTCAGAAAACTTCAAGAAAAAAGAGAAGATCTCTTAACACTGAGTTTTGACTGCCAGAAGAATCTGGTTCTACCTAAGGTTCAGGATCAGACCGCCTACTATAGCAGGCAAATGTATATATACAATTTCTCAATCGTAAAAGGAAGCTCAAAAGACTCTTTAACTCCGGAAAATGTATATTGTTATACATGGATGGAACATGAACATAGAAAGGGTGCTAATGAAATTGCCTCAGCGGTTTTCCATCAATTGTCACTCCTTGACTTGACATCTTACTCAGCCATTAGATTATGCGCCGATGGATGCGGTGGGCAAAACCGCAACTCAGTTATGATTGGTATGCTGAGCTACTTCTTAGCACGAGTCGCACCTCCAAACATTCAGGAAATACACATGATTTTCCCTATCACTGGACACTCGTTTTTGCCAGCAGATCGTGTGTTTGCTTCCATAGAGAAAAAACTGCGTAAGTTACCAGTAATAATACAACCATCAGAATATGAAACAGTTTTTTCAGAGCATTCCACACTTTTTAAGCTTGGCACTGACTTGAAGGTTTACGACTGGAAAACTTTAGTAGGGACTTACTATAAAAAGCGTTTCATCCTCACTAAATCCAAACAACAAAATATATTGGTTAGGGGTGAAGTATCTTACAGCAGTGATTAAACTAATGGCAAATTGGTTGTTCAAAATGGTGTCAAAATAAAATCAATCCCATTGCCTGATGAAATACCAATGGGAGTTGCATTGAAAGCAGCTAAGGTCCAAGATGTTAAAAACCTTTTGAAAAAGCACTTCGGCGAGACCTGGGACACCATGGAAGAATGCTCCTTCTACAAAAATGTGTTGGGAATCACGGCCAATGTGACAGCTAGCCATACAGCAGCAACAAACGAAACTGATGAAGACCTCGAAGAAGAAGTTAATGAGTTCTGTGAAGGACATCAACATGAACATCTCGTTGAGCGGGTGTAATACTTATTATATTTTCTCAAAATGCGTTGAGTTGATCTTAAAGAATCTTAGTTTTGATTTCTTGTAGACATATGTTTTTTTTTTTTAAGGGAAATAAATGTTTGCTTGTTTATTCCATCTATGTGCCGGATCTACCACCATGTAATCAGCTCATTCCTAAAATAAATTCTAAGTTAAAAATTGTCTCAACTATATATATTATGGGGATTATTCCAGGAATAAGTTTGTAGCACGGCGGTAGAATCGTCCATAAGTGTGTTATTGCGTCAAAACAGCCTATATCCTTATACAGCTGGAGCAAAAGTTCCTTTATCCATTTTGTTACGGCAGATGGTTCTATATCCAAACTCTATAGCTAAATTACATCCGCTTTACTCACTCCACGATTATTTTTGTTGCTTGTATTTGTTTTATAACCCAATAGGAACGGTTCAAAACAAAATTATAGCCGTTACAACTTTTAACTTAGTTAGAACAGTTTTTCGCCAATTGTGGAAAATTAGTGGAAGGGGATATAGGCCCTTTTGCAGTGAGACGCCTCATATTATCTGTGCTATAAGGATTATTTATGTGTTGTCCTTTCTGACGAGAGATTGAGTCCAAAGTTATAATCTATGATTTTATGGTTTTTCGCGTTTTCAAAAACTACTGGAAATCATCACCGCCCCCGCATTATGCGTAGTTGCTGTTAGCATGTGATGATTTAATGGAGACTTGTGATTCGAACAATTTTTTGACAACCAGGGATTTTCTCCTTTTATCTCTTTCATTTTGAACTTTAGCATATTGCAAATGTAATTTACATGAATAAGTAAAAGTGGATGTGCAAATTTCTAGCATTACATATATATCAAGTAAATCCATTTGGGATAAGAAACCAATGGATTTACCATCAACATAGACCAGAGCTAAGCCATGATAGCTCAAGCATCATGACTTTTAGGTAATACGTACAGCTACACAACGAGTGCACATCAAGTAAACAATAGCTACTTCCAAGTTGACATCTTATAGGAAAACTTACATAATGTCACAAAAAACCTATATAATATAAGTCCATTAAATGTCCTAATTATAGGAGATTTCAATGTAAGAAATTTTGTTGATAATACAATTGTTGATAGACATTCTCCTGCACTAAACAGATTTTTGGAATTTTCAGGTCTTTCTCAAACCAATACTATTTTGAATTCTAGACAACATAGAGGATGTCAATCGCATGTGCGACTTGTTCTATGAAAAATTATACTTCGTTTTTGACCTGTACGTTCCAAAATATATTAAACATAAGCATCGTTATCCAAGTTGGTATAGCTCGGATATTATTCGGAATTTAAAACTGAAACGTAGACTGCATCAACAATAGTATCATCCGCTATAAAAGTCTCGGTTTTTTAATAAGAAACTGTAAATCGTTTGGTATTGAAACGGTACTGAAGGCTTTACACTGCACCTTGGTGCGTTCTAAGCTGGAATATGCATCTAGTGTATGGCATTCATATTCCCAAATCTATACTAATGAAATTGAAAGTGTACAGAGGAGATTTCTTAAATACTTTACTTTCAAATTAGATGGTGTTTATCCCATTCGTGGGACTCCCCAATCAGCGATGTTGCTCAGATTTGAAATGCATCCTCTTGAGCTGAGAAGAGTTTGTGATAGTTTAAAATTCCTTTACAAACTCATACACAGTGATGTTGATTCTTCAGCTTTATTAACTAAAATAGCTGATAATTGTGTCATTGATCATGAAAGTCAGATATATTAGCTGTATTCAGCGACTACTATTATTCAATTTACAACACTTAAGACATGTAGTTGAGATGTAGCTATTAATTTTTTTGTTTCATTTTTTTCAGAAACTGGGCGAGCTATGATTGTAGTTAAAATACTGTAATGTCAAATGGTATTCAATTACGTTGTCCTGTAAATGGATGTATCTGTTGGGCAATAAATATGTTATTATTATTATTATAATACCAAAAAACGACATGATGTCAATTTCAAGATACGTAATACCCCTGCCGATATAATTTTACACGATCATAACTTCAACATCACGTGAATATATGTATATGAAGCTTTCTTATTATTTTTGCGCCTCCTTACCGTTCTATAAATATTCCCGATGTTCTTAAAGTCACCCTGTAGAGATAGGTAAAAACGTCGACTATTATCATTAGGCCCAAAAATAAACCCTTGTCTGACGGAGACGTCCTGAGATGCTACCTCATTTTAAAATATTGCTTGGGAAAGGAAAGAACGCTGGATAAAAATGTTCATGCCATACTGTACTCGTATTTCAAATAGGAAAATGGATCATAATAAATATTATCATAAAACACTAGCTCCTCTGCCACATATGGCATGACCTGAGTATCACCCTTTGAAGCATTTCTTGTCGACGCCTTGCGTTAGGTGCTTGGGCTTTATCGTGGAAAAGTATCTGCAGAGAATTGAAATACGCCGGAAGGTTTCACAATCAAATTGCCGTATTTTTACAGAGTCGTGTGACTTTTGAACAATGTAATGTTAAAGCAAATTGCTCGTACAAATGCCCAAAAACAGTTTAAAGGTCATGTAAACATTACAATCCCTTGCACAAATAAAAAATGGTGCCCAGTAGTTTGACTCAGTATAAGGGTTTGTGTACAGTCTAAGAAAACCGGAAGGTCGTCAATTTTATCTTAACAAACAAGACTAAAAGTTGATTCAAACGATCTAATCTTAAAGCACTCTCCAGGATCTTGTAGGAGGAGGCTTTAACTTTAGCTTAGATACATGGCAGGCTAAAAAATGATGAGTCTTGATCGAGGTTTTAATTATCGATTTGCAGCCTATTTAGGGTTTTCATTAAAAAAACATTAAAAGGCTAAGAGATCGAAAACGGTCAACTTTAGGGAGGAGGTACTAGAAATCTTTCTTTTGTTTAGAGTGATCCGAAAAGCCAGAAAAAAGTATAATAGGGGCGAATTTTTTTTTTAATTTGTTAAAAAATGTTTAACAAATTTTTTTCTGGGTTGCTGGCTGTCTACTGCTTGAGGCATGTCAAGGGACACTAAACAAACGTAATTATAAAGAAATCAAGTTTGAAGAACTCTCTCGGGAATGCCAGGTTTTCGCCTCTTCCAGTATCAAAAATGCTGTTCAGAAACGTCGGATCAGCATCTTATCCTGGCCAACGTTTCTTATCAGTCCAAGTATTAATTTTCATTTGTTCTTCCTTTGTATTATATTATTTACTTTCAGTTCCTCCCACGCCAATGGCGAAGAAGTATCGTAATCTCGAAATTTTTGTAAAACTACATGTTAAGTTTTTTTGATATTACATATCATGTACTCGTAGGTCCCAAAATACTTGTCACTTATCCCTATCGGCCTGTCTGTTTGACCGCTAATCATGAGCCCCCCTAAAACTTGTAAAGTGGTAGCAGTAGAAAGATTTTTTTCGCACGAAGAGGGGAATAAGTAACAATGACAATATGCAATGTATTGAAATATACTAAGTGACATATAAATCAGAACACCCAGTTTAAATGGTTTTATTTTAATAAAAGTTGGTGAATGTATTTATCTTACTGTAAATAACAAGTGAAAAAATGTTCAGCCTTATCAGTTGGACATTCCAGTTTTTATACTGCTTTTTTTTAATTCACTAAAGCTCTAAAAATGAATATTTCAGCCGCAGTAAAGATTCAACGTTG